CCCAAAAATAAAAAAAAAAGAAAAAAAAAAAAAACCCCCCCAAACCCTGACAAAGCAGCTTAAAAAAAAAAAAAAAAAAAAAAAAAAAAAGACCCTGTAATGGCAAGTTTGAACATAAGAAATAATTTGCGTTGTTTTTACAAGAAAACTGTTTTTAAAAATAAACCTCTGAGTGCAAACTTCACGCAGATGGAAGAATGATGCAGCGTTTGTATCTGCCACGTCGAGATGACCGCTAATCTGAACCCGTCAGCACATTCTGGCGTTGGCAACTCACATAGCAATCGAGTGAGAGAGCGAGGCAGGAAGAAGCAGAAGACAGCCAGGCTCTTCAAATGCTGGAGAGGACAGCCTGAAACGAGCTCTGCTGGCTCACCGACACAGACCACAGGCCTCCAACTGCAGCTCGCAGCACGAGAGGCGGCGGGCGGCGACACCGTAGTCGCTCCACGCTGCAGCCGTTCAGCCGTAAGCAGAACGGTTTCTGCTGCAGCATTCAGGGAGGCTTCTGATTTACTTAAGAGTAAATGTTCAGCTAAAAACGATCAGATGCCTTCACACAACTCTAAAAGAATGGTGGCGCTTATTAAGAACTCCTCTAGTAAAATGATGTGGCGATGCTCCAACTCGTATTCGTAGCTGGTGTTTCTTTACTGGAACGTTTTCCGGAGACCGGGGTATTTTTCAGGGGCTAATTTCTTTTTCAAACTGGTTCAGGTCTTTCAACATGAATTGTATTGTCAAGGAGAAACCCACCCACAAAATTTAAAGTAGTGTTCACAAGAAAGTGTAAAGATCACTGATGAACAGAATCTAAACAACAACATATGAGGAAGTAACGAACAGATTTAAAAAAAAAAAAAAGTAACCTGAAACGAGCCATAAACTTATATTTTATCACCAGCAGAGACCAGAAATAGAACAAATATCTCATTAAATGTTTTACTCTTAAATTCTTGCTGTTCCTGTTTATGCCAATTATTCATTTTTGGCAAAGTATCACGAGAACTACTGCTCACTGCAAATGAAACACTTCAGAAAAATAACATTTAGGTGGCAATTAACAGAAGAGTTTGCCTGCAATACTCTTCTACAAAGCGTTAGGTTTTAGTGCTCCATTGTTCTGGGTCTGATAAGATTTTAGAGAATAAAAACTAAAGTGAAATATTCATACATGGTGGTTAATAATTCTCATAAAAATGAGTGATTCCTTAAAAACAAAACGTTGCCACGCAGCTACATTAAATCATCTGTTTTCAGTCACAGAGGGTTATCTTTGTTGCTAAATGCAGTTCTTCATTTGCATGAAGCTTAAAGCACGGTTTTACTTTTATTAAACTTTTATTCTTTGCCTTACTTGCTCCACATGCTTCCGCTAGGACCGGTGGCTTGACTGCTGAACTAAATATATCATGGCCCTATATTGTTCTGCTGGCGATGGATTGTCAGGAAACACCCGAGCCCCCATGCGGTGGCGGCAGCTTCGACGCTCCGACTGTGACGCAACCCAGCCGGCTCGGGCATCACGCCGCCTGATGCGTGGGCTCACGCGGAGCCAATGGCATGCAGGGGAAAAACACTTCACAAGACTGAGGCCGGGAGAAGAGACGAGGCATTCCCTTTGAAGCCGACAGCTTGGATGTGAGCGGAGCCGAGATGGGGAGGAGAGAGAAAAGGCTCTCCTGCACACAGAACGAACCGTGTGCACCATCACCGAACTGTGATTTAGACGGTTGTATCTCATCTCTCTAATCTCATTATCTTCTCCCGTGTGGAGAAATCCTCTTGGGGTTTACCGAGAGAAAACCTTCAAAACCAAGTATGCATCGCAAGGCAAACACACGTTTGAGGTATTTCTAAGAAATGCTCTCAGCTGCAGGATGATGGAAATTCAATAAGAACTGGTGATTTGAACTTAAACTGCAAATTCTATGCTCACAGTTTATATTGCGAAAGAACTGTGGGAATAATAACGTTGACACTTCTTTTCATAGATATAGTTTTAGAAAATCAACAATTTCATGTGTAAGGTTGAAAATATGTTTGGGCAGCTGGGTGGATGTTTTATGCCCACAGCTGTTATAGATTGTTGTGATCAAGGTGACTGAATTCAATAAGAGTGGTGTTGATCGTTGTGAATAAACCAACATCGCAAAATTCAATCAAAACCTCACAATTTCATGTTATCCTGATTTTGCAGAGATCTAATGTGTTTACACAGAGGTCTACAAAAACCTTTTTGACACCAAGTATACTTAAATGCATCAAAATGTAAAACTGTGATGAATGTCACATGAAGATGTTAAGATGAAAACATTTGACCTCTCATCATTTATTCATCTTTAACTACTTTTTTTTCCCGCAAGTTAAAGAGCCTAAAATCGATACATCAGTCGAAGGTAAAGTATTCTGAATATCAGCTTTGCTTTGGGGATAAATCCAGTCAACTCCCTCTTCCTCTGTCTGAGCTACTACTTCCCCTCAGACTGTTTCTTTCTTCTCCAAAAACTATCCCGTGTCAATCCCCACTTTAGGAAGCCAAGTCCTTGTTGACTCCAGCAGAAAACATTTAGTTTTAGATTCAGAGGTTAAAACCAGAAGATCCACAAGTTTACGCCAGATGCTCTTAGCTCCCGCTTCCTGTCAGCAGCTCAAACCAGAGGAAAACTCTGCCTTAGAGGAGCCCCCTTTGAGAGCCACAACAGGCCCTAGTTATCCACACACAAATCAATATGGACGTAGAGAAGCTGGAGCCAAAGGAGTCAGGAGATGGAGGTGAAGACTGCATCTTTAACCATGCGGAGATCACCTCTTCTTACGCAGCTTTAAACCAGGCAGGGGAAAGTTTCCATTATTAAGAGCTGGCTGAGTTGTGATGAAAAATATTATCACCAGCGTCGCAGAGATAAAGAAGAATATTATGTGTTACATTATCTTTTCTTTTGCAGAAATATCACTTTTATTCAATTTTCTCTTCTAAGCCTTACTATCCCTGCAGCTCATTAAACCAGTTTTTTTCTCTTTTATCTCCCTTCCATCCAGCTTTGAATGGTAATACGCTCTCCCTTGTATTATTAGGAGCTTCTTTGTCCCTTGTAACACACGATGACATCACTCCGTGGGAGTTTTTGATCTCCAGGGAGTCTTCCTCGCTCTGACATTAGTTTTCCTTTAGGACCTCGGTCCTGCCACACGGGGGAGGCAAACAGCATTGTCCTGGTTGATTGACAAAAGACCTTTGAAACGACACCCTGTAAATGAGGACAGTGTTAACAATTGTTGACCTAATTATCATGGGGAGAAGGTTTCTCACATCCTTTTAAATGATGCAGAACGGACCAAGTCCCAGAGCGCCTTACATTAACCTTACAACACCAGAAAAATCTCCGGAGAACCAGAATTTGAGAAATAAGCAACAATATTAAAATCTTTGGAATGAAGAGCTAAAAATTCTAATGCATTCAGTAAATTAGCATGAACAAAATATTTTCCTTGATCTAAAAATTTAGTGGAAGCAGCATCAGTGAAATCTGAGACACAGAATGATAATTTCAGATTCAACTGAACTGACAATCAAGACCAAAACGGGTCAGTCGGAGGCTTATGATCGCTTAAAAACCCTCAGACGTCAGCAATAACATCGTCATGAATTTTCAATCTTGGGGTAAATTTGAAACATCCCTCTGGTTTTGCATATGATCATATAAAATACATCATTTTTATCTCACTCAACCAAAGGTAATTTTGGAGCTGCAAAAACAGGAAAAAGGTGTTATGTTGGAAAATCAATAGTAATAACTGTCAATCATGTTATTGTATTAACTGTTGTGTCAGTTAAATGAAGAGAAAGATTCGATCTTTTTGACAAGAATGTGATGATGTTGTGATACAGAGACCTTTGAGTTTCGCTTAATTTTATATAGCTTAATATAAGCAGTAGCCCTAGTTTGTCAGGCTACTGCTGAGGAACACACCTTCAGATTTCAGATTTAATATACATACAATCGCAAATGGCTCAGAAAATGTTTTAATCCACGTTAATCATCAATTCTTGATATTAGATTTTCAACTCACTCTGCCAAAATTGCATCCTAGACAGCATGTGCAGTTTTACATTAGCATATACTTAATCATCCAGTCATAAAAAGCAAAATAAAATGAGGCTGGGGGACGCATGTTTTCAGGGCTTTTCTAGATTTACCCAAACTATCAAGTCCTGTTCTCTTAAACTCCTCACAAAACTCACAGGATGTCGATTTATTAGGGTTCCCAGAGCCCTGGTGTTAACAAGGCAGCGAGCAACTCGGCTGAATGTGGAGCAGGACACAGCGTGCGCCTCCATGCTGCTAACGGGAGCGGACCGTCCTATTTTTATTTAATGTAGCCAAGAGGAAAGGGTTACATTAAGAACCAGGACAGTACAGTCTTAGTCCATCCGGGATTAAGTTTGCACCAGTTTTTTGTTTTTGTCATTATCTTATTTTCTTCTGTCACATCCCTTTTTTTCAGCACAGACTTTAATTAGGCCGACATGTCAGTGCAGGGGTGACAAGTCTTTGTGGTTCGCTCCATCCTTCTCAGATCTTAAGGAAAGCTTGTCGCCTTTTCCTAATCAGAAAGTACTCCAAGTCACCAAATTTAGCAACCTTTTCACAGTTAAATCCTTAGTTTCTCTCCCCAGCTCCACTATTTCATCTTCATGCTGTCCAAGTATTCACCCAGCTCCTTCCACAATCCCTGTGACTTCACCCGTTCTTCCCTAGAAACTCATCTTCCTCTTGTTATTCTTATTCTTTTGACTCTACACCTCTGGTGACAGCCTTTTGCTTCCAACCGCAGCGCCAGAAATAAATTCCCCAAGCCAAAGACCCTCCTGTATTCTCACTGCTTCCTTCCTCTGGAGTTTAACAGGCTGGCCCCTGCAGTGTCACAGACTGGGGAGCTCAACGTTATTAAAAATATCACAGCACCCACACACTCCAATTAAACAGCGGAACCCCAGGGACAAACATAAATGAGTCGCTTTTATACAAGGAAGCGGCGACACGAGGTGAATACGAATGCAGCAGGTAGACAAAAGAGCAAGGCCTCACCGCTGCAAACGCTGTAAATCACCAGCTATATGACTGTGAGATGCCATTGAATCTCATGCCTTCATGCTAAATCAATAACAGTTGCCTGAAAAGCAATGAAGAACAGATGTTTTGTCTTATTGCTTTAGGCTAATGCTAACAAACTAGAACTGATGGTAGCTGTCTAATAGAAGGCTAAGTTTAACAGTATTGTCACTAAAGATCTTGCTAAGTATAAAGTAAAGGTCAGGGGTTTCCGTAGGTATTTTCAGGATTTATTTGGGGTAATGAGCTCCAAGTGTTTGAGGTTGGAAGGCCTCCCTGCCATCACCCTAATCTTTAGCTCCCCTAGCAGACTTTCTTTCAAGTTGGCATTCTAGCTGGGTCACTCCTAAAAGGTTAGCATTACTTCAAGTCAAAAGAAAATGTTAGTAAAAACAAAAAAATATATATTTTAATTATGAATTAACAACACTGGGATCATGAGCTGAAAGGTTTCAGATTCAGTGAATTGCTGTGATGTGTGCTTTCACAATTGGGTCCCGTTTTGAGCATTGGTGCCCTGCAGCCTGGAGGGAGTTAACCCGGCTTTCTATGCTGGGATTAAGAAACCCAAACATTTCCTATTGGTTGTTGTGAGCAGACTGTAAAGCCCTGGATCTTTATCAAACTGATGATAAATTTTTGGCAAAAGTTTACAAGTTGGGTGGGAGGAAAAACAACAACAAAAAACGTATCAGCAGCAGCATTCTGCAGGGTTTTTACTTCCATTTCTAATCTTATTAATTTCAGATAAAACATGCAACTCTGTTAGTATGACGTGGTTGTTTCGCTGGAACTTAATTTTGAAAATTTAAACTTAATTTCTATCCCTGTTAAGAAGTGTGGTTTAACTGTTTGAGAGGTTCTTGCTGTCATAAACAAAATTAAATTCTTGTGAACTTCAGAGTGACTGTCAGAGATGGAGTGGTTGGACGTTAACACACCAGACAGATGATGAACGGGCAATGGGAAAGGTGCGATGTTAAAGGAAATAAAAGGAGTACAAACAGAAGAGGCACGTTCCCAGCTGTATACTGCAGCACCGTTGCTCTCCGAATAAGGAAGAAAAGAACAGGAAGGTAAAGACTCACCTCCTTGTTTGCTTCTGTCAAGATAGATGGAAACCCTTCTGGCGAGACCTGCGAGCGGGAGAAGGGGGATGGGGGAATGCAACAAAGCCAGCGACAAATTAGAAAGAAACCCTGTGCATGCTAACCCAAGGAGTCCCACACACATCTAAAAGAACTGTAAAACTGAAAAAGATTCATCACCTCTCCAGTTTTGCAGTTCACATGCATTCAGCAGAGAAATGAACAAGGCAGCTGCTTCCAACAAAACTAGCTGAGATCCAAGAGGATCTGCGTCCCAAACAGGGACCGTCGCTCAAACTCCAAACCTGCAGGGTCCAAAGTTCGGATTCGCCTTTTGCAGCAGGGGCAAAAACAGCAGCAGGACCAAACACATCTACAGTCGTCTTCATAGCCCTTGACCTTTTTTGCATTTTCTCCAGATACAACCACACACTTCCGTGCATTTTATTAGAAATTTATGTTCCGGTCTTGTGAAGTAAAAGGAAAACAAATGGTTTTCAATTCTTTACAAAGAAAAATCTGAACAATGTGGTGCATCTGTATTAAGCCTCGTTTACTCTGATATAAATAAAACAAACCATCACTGAGTGATGTGGATATTTAATTCTCGGCTGTTTGTGCCTGCATACTCCTCATAAAGTGCTTAGACATACCTGAGGTTAGTGAACAAGTTGTCGAAATATTTAAACCAGGGCTAGATTAGAAAATATTCCACATATTCCAAGCTTTTAAAAGGTAAACGAATATTGTTGAATCAATCGTCCAAAAATGGAAAGAGTAAAACACAACAAAGTGGCACAGAGAAAGCCATTGTTAAAGAAAACGAAATAAGAACTCCCATTTCGAGTTTGCCTACAAGGTATGTAGGAGACACCAGCAAACACCTGGTAGATTGTGCTCTGTTCAGAAAAACAAACATGGCTTGACATTTACAGATCCGGCAAAGATCGCAGTCTGTAGTTGGGTGAAGCTGGTAGGAACAAACCTTTAAAGTGTTCCTACAAAGCATTTACTCAGAGGGGTAGAAAACAAAGACTCAGGGATTTTTTTTAGATTTTTGTTTGCAAAAACCTTTGAAAACAATGCACCCTTTATTTATGGTGTTAGTCTATATGAGCTGAATAAAATACACAGAAGTATGTGGTCGTAATGCAACAAAAGATGAAAAAGGTTGAATGGATGAATATTTTTAAAAGTGCCTGCACATAAATGCCTGCAAATCTAAATAAAAGTGAGAGAAAGGTCGACTGAGTAGGAAATAACGAAGCCGCCCGATTCGATATTAAATTGAAACAAAAGGGATTTTTGACATGATGGGGAGGCGTTTTGTTGCTGCCTTGTTCAGCCTCTCTCCAGAGACGAGGGAAAACACAAAACAATATCAAAGACCCAGCAAAGTAACAAGCCAGTCAGTCTGGAGAGATGTTCCACTGGTGTGAAAACAGCACAGAAGCGTTGCCATTGGCTGATGGAGATGGGGTGAGCGGGGACGGGTCCAGCAGGTACCAGGCTCAGACTGTTTGTCTCTGCCAGCCTCTCCTTGAGAAATGTTCAGTCTTTTAGCAGCTGCCTTCAGAGCAAGAACAGATTTTTTTTGGCAGCACAAAGATAGAGTTGTATAATATTTCATTGGGCTTTAAATTATTAATGCATCTGAGGAAAGTATTTTTTTTTAATCCTACAAATTCTAGCTTATAACCATCAACATACCTATTAGGTAAATGTAATAACTAATAAGAGAATACTAGAAGTATATGCTGGAGAAAAAACTAGTGTGTATGTGAGGTTTTTTTTTTTTTTTTTTTTACATTTCCGCAAAAAAATAAAAATAAAATAAAAATAAAAATAAACAAGAGCTGAAGCCTAACTAAAAGTTCAGGAGAAATCTCAGCTGATGCCTTCAGTGTAGTCAAGAGTCCAAGCCAAGCAGCAACTGTCAATCCACCATAACAAGCACACCATTAAATGTGAAAGTCACTCGCAGAGAGAGACAAAGACAGAGGGAAAGAGACAGAGAGTTCCCCTCTGCAGGGGCAAGAGCCTCTCTGGGCAATTTGTGGTGTGGGACTTATCCAGGCTGTGAGGTTAGTTAAATGTGTCGCCTCACCACAATCCCTACAGTCCCCTTGGAGCTCTGCTGACTCTGCTGGGGCCTCTGTGGAGGCTTTAGGTCATCCAGTCACTTATCCTGACAGATCCAATGTTCAGTCAGATGTGCTACGAAACACAGCGATGCACAAGTTGCCCACAAACTGAGCTATCATTGTACAACATTAAAGCTAAATAAAGATGGCTTTCAAATAAACACAGATGTCTGTAAAATTATATTTAAAAAAAAACAAAAAAAAAAAACTAATTTAATATTGTATATCAGAAAGGACACCAAATTCATTTGTGAGGACTTGTATTTCTGTATGTTTTTTTAGTCTCATTAAATGTTCATCCTTCAAGATCTTTTTAGTTATTAATGTCGAAATGGGCAATTTAACAGGAAATCATCCAGTATCAAATAACTCCACAGTACTCTTCGTCAGCTCTGCACAACTGTATTTGCACTTTTACTTCACAGAAACACGCATGTACTAAACATAAAGCCTCTCACAGAGATGTTAAATGCGACAGAAACTACGCGGACTAGAAAGGAGACGATTGATTGAAATGACGTCTTCAAGGCACCTGGGAGCTATAGCCAATTTTTCTTTTTCCAATTAGACATTTCAGCACAACCACATGTAATTTCCTTCTGCTGTGTCAGACTGTAGGATGGTTCTCCAGGGGGTGGTGGAAGTTACTGGAAGACACTTTAGCTCCGCCTGGGAAGCTGATACCCCATCTACCTTTAAGATGAGGACTAAAACTTTCCTTTTATTTAAAGTTGGGTTAGATTTTCCTGAGTTGCTGGTGGACCTTAGGCCTATGGTGTTTCCTCACTTTACTATTTTCTCCTACTACTCTCCACTGATGCATTCCATTAACTTTCTGTTGTCTATTTCTCCTCACCTTGGAAGACATGCTTGGCCCAATACTTTCGTATCTAACTTTTTTTGATCAAAGCTATTGATGAAGCTTATGTGGCCATTAAACTCAGTCCAAGTTTATTTTGTTGGCATTTTTGGCTCAGAATGAAGGGTGAGGTGTTAGGAAAAATACTTCATCTGTAAAGGATTAAAAAAACTCACATTTCTATTAAAATGCAACGACTCTAAATACACAAAAAGACGTTGAACATCAAAATATACAACTAAATGACAGAAACCCTGTTCTTAGAGGGTAAATAAGGGCAAGACTGGTGATTTTCTGCCAGTGCAAACTGGAAAAAAATAAACATTTATATGTAAGTCTACAGAGTTTTGGAAATGGATTTCAGAGTGGTTCAACATCTGTACTTTGTCCCATCATACATGATAACATTTGCTATTGGTTGAGTCTTAACCTTCACATCAAAGCAGGAATTCTTAATATTTTTAATATTTTTAAATTTTTGTATTTTCTTTCTTCCCTTTTAGTTTCTGACTGGCAAAGAGAAAAAACAATACATCTTTTATTTAACTGTGCATAGCTTTGCATAAAACCCATTTAACTTAGCAGAGTCATTACAGTCACTGTATTTCAGAGGAAATGTGACTTTAAACCCTCTACATGAAATGCATTTTTCTCAACATGCCTCACCGGCCAGTCTGAATGCTGCATAAATAAGCAAAAAGAAGAAAATAAGCAAAAAAAAGCAAAACCTTCTGGGGCTCTATAGTAACAGTGACCTTTAAAGAGTATTCTCAAAAACACAGTTCAACCTTATATAAACTTGTTTTACGCAGCCCTGCTTAACTATAAGAGACGGGGAGCACTTTCTACATAATAGGTAATTCTGTGCTACATTCACTTGCACCCAGATATCAGATTTTTACTAATTTAAGTGTCTCATATTTTACGTTCTTATTTTATGATATTTTTTCTGTAATTAATTAGTTCAAATTAACAGGTTTAAAGTCTTAGCTCTGATTGTTATATTGTCAAAATAATGAACTGTATATTTAATATGAAATAAAGCATTCACAGGCTCTTTCTCATGAGAAGTACAAAAGTGTGGTTACTAAATGCAGCAGTTATCGACACATTTAACAAGTGTGCACACTCTTGCAGCCCCGCGTTTCCCCAAAAACAATTCTGACCCAGAAATGTAGAAGTGCTTGAGGCAGAAAAATGTGGAGCAGCTGGGATTGAGGCATGACAGTGTGTACTGTGTATGTGTGTGTGCGTGCGTGTGGTGGTGTAGAACAGTGAAGTGGGTGGATGTTTCTGACAAGAGTGTAGCACTGCTGTCTGCCCTGGTTCACATATTTGTGAATAACTCTGCCTCAGGAATTATGGAAGTGTGTCAGCTAAGAGGCTAAACGTGACAGTACATCCACAGATTGTCAACACTTGAGTTTTACGTGATCCGTTTTACTGATGGAAGATAAACAATCCTGCAAGGGAAGAGGGAAAATTACCTACCTGCTGAATGCATAATTCTGCAGCCAGATTAAGTTGAATGTAGGCCGCCCAGCAGGTTAAATCCAGCTTTTTCACAAATATAACAGAAACCTGATGGACAGTTTCTGATGGTGCCTGGCATCAGATTTCACATCATATTTGTTTCAAATAATAGTGTAAATTTATGCTTTCTGATTAAAAAAATCAAAACATCACTACATCATAAGTCAGGCACAATCTAAATATGAAAAAGTTTGGAAGGAAGTTGTATTTTATTTCTACTCCAATCTTGTGTCTCTACTAAAAGTTTAGAGATCCGGTCTCTGAGAGCTTCTGGCCCGAATCTCCAACCCTCTGGGGTTATAACACAGTTTGATAGTTTGAACCATTATAAAGGCCCCTTTTCTAGCAATTATAGAATAAAAACCTACAGTAAGACTTCAAGACATGTAAAAATGAGTTTTTATGGCAACTTTAATGAATTGGAAGTTAGACTTTTACAGTAAAACTTAATATGATCTGACATTAACATTGAATTTGATGAATCCAGTCTTATGACTTATTTTAAGTTACATATGTTTAGAAATCACCAAATTAGATTCATTTAAACAATAAGAACACTTCAGGTTCTTATTAGTTTTTCTTTGGTTCTGTGCTGAGTCGTGTTTTTATATCTGATGGTCTCACTAATCCTTAATTCTGGTCATATTTTTTTGTACATACATTTCTTTAAACTAAAACTTGTGCAGCTTTTTGAGAGCTCTTTCATCATATATGGAGCAAAAAAGTGATGCATAACTGTGGCTGTACTTTCTCAAAAACAGTCTGTATCATGTTTTATTTCTGGTTGTTTGAGGTATTATGCCACTGCACATTAATAAAGCCATTGTGGGTGTCGTTGACCAAATTCAAACACTTAATTTTCTTGTTAACTTTAATCTATGATATCGGGACTGGTCAGTCATTTTGGGACTTATAATTATTTCCTAAAGTTGAGTAGGGTTATACATATTTTTTTGACCAATTTCTGCTCAACAGGGATTTGATTGTTTTCTCTTCATGTTTATTATTTGTTGTGCTCTAAATAGAAATAATATTAAATTGATGTTTATTTACTGCTTTGCTCTGGAGCTTTTTGCAGTCTGCTTCCAGTTTTAGTTTTCAACTAAAAAAAAAGCTCCTCGGTTGCATTTAAAGGAACCAAACAGGGAGTTATGGAAGAAAAAAAAATGTGCGCAGAGAACAAGAACTGCATATGTTCAATGTTTAAGCTTGTTTGAATTAATGCAGCAGCCTTCCTGTCATACTTGCTGAGGATGGGGAGGTGTGAACTTATGACTGGGACGGGTTGGACAGGAGGAGTGGGGAGGGGTGAGCATCCACCGACACTGGAGGACTGTGGGGCATGAGCAGAACACGCAGTAATAGAAAGTGTTGATCTTTACTGTGGGTGCTGGAGGAGGGCTGACCTCTGGTGGTTGGCAGCATGTCGGAGAGGCCCTGCCACGCCGTTACCATCTCTGGGTTCTTCTGGTCAGCAAAGTTCTTCCAGACACGCAGCGCTCCGTCATCTGGACAGAGGAAGGAGGTGGCGAGACGAAAATTAAAACAAAAAAACACACAAATAAATTAAAATACAATCAAAAAGCGGATTTATGTCAGTCATTCACGTCAGAAACTTAACTTTCTATTACAGTGCATGGGTTAAATACACACAGGGGAATTTATTGTGTTTAATTCTGTTAATTTGGATAACCATGACTAATGAAATATAAATATTTAGTTTGTGGGAGAATTAACATACAACTTAAAATCATTAAAAAATGTTTTTTTTTTTATCATAGTCACTGAGTCCCTCCACAATAAGGGTAAGCCACAAAATGACATCGACAAGAAGTTTGCTGCTTACAGTACTAACACTGTAGGCAAGCAAATTGTTGGAAAATTGAATGGAAGGAAAAAAGTATGGTAGAAATAGAAAAATGTGTAATTTACTGTTTTGTTTGATTTCAGCAATGAGTTCAGTGCGTCTCAGTGAGGTTCTGGGTAGTTGGATTACCAGCAAAGAGGCCAAAATTAAAATAACTAAACATTTTTCTTAAAAGTCTCTGCTAGCAGGAATAAGCTTAAATTAAGTACAATTAAGTTTAAAATGTCTGCCACTCAAACAGCCAATTAAAATAGTACAACACATTTCTGTTATTTGTTCCAATAATTAGGTGTGGACTATTCTCTTTTTCCAAAGAGTCAAAGTTATGTCAGTTTTTTCTTTTACTGAATTTCCCATTGATAGGTTTACATGCAGCCCTTTATCAGCCGACTTCTTCAGCAATGACCTCCTGCTCCTCATCTTCTTTGTAGAGGGTGTTAATGACTGTCCACTGGACAAACTTAGTTCACCACAGTTTTGTAGATCACAACACCAAATTTATAGTTTTAAAAAGTGTTGTATTTGCATTTTAAAATGTTATTTTATAAGAAATTGAGGGTGTTCATTACCCACAGGCCATTACAATGAATCTATATGATATACCTTTCGAAGTAAATTACTGAAATAAACTTTTAATGATTCACTAAGATGCCTCTGTATGTCCTGACTGTGATGAAGTCTTCATGAGTTTTTTTTTATAACTTTGCTAAAGTTCTTTAAACGTAAAAACATCAGAGAACTTATGCAGAGTGACATCTTAAAAGTCTGCTCACCTAAAACATCTCGACAGAGAAGAAAAGCAGGACTGAAGCCTTGCCCTAGGAAGATCTCTGCAGTTCAAACACCACTAAGAGCAAAGCATTAAACCCGTCCACTCGCTCCTTCCAGAACGTTATTACGGGCCATAAAAGTTCCCACCTGATTTATGCTCATTGCTTTACTTTTTTAATGTGGTATCTGTATAAGAAATGGTATCCTTCAGAGCATGACTGATGGAGAAAAGCTCAATAAGTGCACATTACTTTTTGATGAGGCTGAATTTAAAAGCATTAATTCCTGAGCATTTTATCGCTTTGAAGTGTGCAATTAAAGGCAATGTTTATTCTTAGTTTAAATGTATTCTATGCCGAACAAACAGAATAAATGAGTTTAAATGTGGGGTTGTTTTCTAAAGAAAGAAAAAAGATCGAAGAAAGAAAGATAATTGCTCAGTGATATTGATGATGAATACAGAGAGGTGTGCGTAGGATACAGTAAGCACTGCTAATGCTCCGGTGCGGATCAGACATTTATATTTTCTGGAGGTGAATTAGTGCTCTCCCACCTGTCGCAGTGAGCAGTAACGAACAGTCATGTCCGTTCAGGTACTCCATGGCAGTGATCCGGGTGTAACGAGGGTTCCCGTTGTAGAAGTAGTCCAGCCTCTCACCCTTCTCCCAGTCCCAGAAACTGGCACAGACATATTCAGGCTCCGGTGTAAGAGAAACAATAACGCCTGGAGGAATTCAGGCTGAGTGTGTGAGGCATTCTGACCAGATGCTGTCCTTGTCGGCCACAGCGATGCAGGTGTTGAAGGGGTGAAACTTCACAACAGATGGCACTCCCGGGTTACGGTTGATGAATATTTGATCGTCTAGACGGGAAATGCCTGTGACAAGAAAGGAAGATGGTAAGAGTTCTCAAAACTCAGATGGTCACAGTTTTTGTTGCATGTGCCTCCAATGTCAGATATGAGATGAGGAATTTGGTTTGAAAGTCCTGCAGAGTATCCAGGAAAGTATCACTACCATGCATTACTCAAAATATGTGCATTCATGATGAAGAAAACATTTAATTGGTAATTATGTTCCAGACGCTGCAGCTGTACTTTGGGCTCTTCTTCCTGATTGGTTGATTCAGAAATTAACAGCCAATCACAGTCAGTAAAACAGCAGAGAGTGGAATTGAACAATCATTTTATTGGTCCCCTGATGGGAAAATCATTTTTATCTGCACAACTGAATATTTTCTCTTTTTCTGATCATTCTTTGTAGAATAGAGTAATCCTGGTAAATCCCAGTATCTCAAAGACTTGGAAGGGTTTTGTAAAGCCAGAAAATGAGGAAATAATTTGAGATGGTCTTACAGAATTTTATGGAAAATGAGTAAAATTTTCACCACAGTTTCATGTGACCACTGCAAAAGCTGTTTAACTCTTGCATTAAAAAGCAGGCAACTTCATCACTAAAACACTGTTATAGAGAGGCGAGGATCTAGACAAAAACTGAATCAGTTTGTAGCTTTCTCCTCTCCATCTCTGCGCTCTTCCTCCTCCTCCAGTCTCGTCTCTCTCAGGAGGGAGCCGACTGAATAAGGGCAACCCTTCCACTTCTTTCAAAAAAAAAAAAAAAAAACCGGGGGGGGGAATTCAATGATTGAGCAAGCAGTTGAAAGTAAGGGAGACGTGTGTACGTGAGCAAAACTCAGCTCTGACGCCAATCGCCTCGTGACTGAGTTTGTGTGTGTGTGTGTGTGTGTGTTGCAGGGGGGCTGCCAGTGACGTTGGGTTTGTTAGTTATTCTGTTTGAGAGCGCTCTAACTTCACAGGAGGATTCTGTGACTATGCTGCCACTCCAGACTCTGTCTGAGTGTGTGTGTGTGTGTGTGTGTGTGTGTGAAGAGACTCCTGTCTCTCATGGAGCAGGATGTTTCCAGCTGCGAAATGTTTTTATATCTATCCGCTCACTGCTGTGAATTATCTGCACACAATTTGCTGTGTTATCGCATCAGTGGCTTCTTCTGGCCAGACGTCAGACATGAAGCTCAGTAAATCAGTGATGAAGATCGTGAGGAGATATTCACTGTGATCCATATCTAACCATAAGCCCCTGCTGCAGAAACTGCTAGTATATATATATATATATATATATATATTATTGCTCATAAAAATAAAGGGAACATTTCACTTTAATTTTGTGTGTGGCTCCAAATACAGGCCTCCATTGGTTAATACATTTGATTTCCATTGATGATTTTTGTGTGATTTTGTTGTCAGCACATTCAACTTTGTACAGAACAAAGTATTCAATGAGAATATTTCATTCATTCAGATCTAGGATGTGTTATTTGAGTGTTGCCTTTATTTTTTTGAGCAGTGTATATATATATATATATATATATATATATATATATATATATATATATATAAAAAACAAAATCCTGTATCCTAGAATTGTAGTTCAAATCGTCCACCTCAAATTATTATTTTTTTAGCATTATCACATATAAAGCTGAAGTAATTTTAGACAAAGGACAGTTATTACCACACATCCAACAAAACTGGAAGAAACTTTCTCGACTTCCTGTTTGAAGCAGCCAATCGGATGCCAGAATCCCTACAGAAGCAGCCATAATCCCGCCCACTGAGTTTGATGGGTGAGTTATAATTAATATTACTAATATTTAATTACCGTATTTTTCGGACTATAAGCCGCTATTTTTTTTCCCACGTTTTGAACCATGTGGCTTATAGCCGAAGCGGATTTTCTGTGGATTTTTCTTCCACCACCAGGGGCCTTTTTAGCAGGAAGTGAATCATTGCAAGTCAAAATTGGAAATCAAAGAAGAAAGTGCTGATTTTCATTTAGAACAAGCACATGCCAGCAGCAGGTATGATGGAGAAATGTCTTCAAACTCATACACCCTCATCATGGAAACCACACGAAGAAGTTCATATGATCCCGCTTTTAAGTTGACAAATAATTACTTAATTCTATATTTAATAAATATTTTCTGTACTTATTTCCAGTTTTTTTTTTAATAACACATTTAAATGATTATTGTATAAGTTATTTAATTAGTCGTTTGTGTGCCACTCACCTCTTTGTGTGATGACGCGACTCTGTCTTCTAACACGAGCGTTTCTCAGGAACCTCCACTGCCGCTCCATCCTAACCTGGCTCTCCAGGTCGTGCTCCTCTGGGATCTGAGATGATATAAGAAAAGAAACATTAGAAATCCTCCATCACAATACAAAACAACAGCTGGACGATGTTTGGTGCGCTTCGATCCTGTGACTTTCTGTAAATCGTTTTACTTCGATTTCAATACTGACTTCACATTCAGCTATTTTTTTCTTTTACACTACAAAATTAGTGTCAAATGATAATAAATGATGGTTCTGTTTGTTGCTTTTGCAAGAAAAGCAGCAACTCTTCCATGAACAATTGGTTTATCAATGGGCACCTTTGACAAAGTGACGCTGAAATTTGCCGTTTCCCCCCGTGAGACATTAAGGAAATTAATATAAACCAAATGCGTGATGTGAATGTAAAACAAGCAACAATAATGTGAAAGTATGATAAGTTAGAATAAAAGAAAAAAACATTTTTCAAAATAAATAGCTAGAGGATGAAATATATTACTATTTCATATTTCCTGTGTTCAAAGATTCATCTACACATTCCATACAATTTCTGTATTTTTGGTCATTTTCTGTTTTTCTTCACATCTCATTGTTTTATTCTTCCATAACATCACCGTAGATCATGCTGCTCTCCTGCCTCCCCTCTCTGCCTGCATTTGGAAGAGGTCATAATTTAATCCATCCCAGTTTTAAACCTAATTTTGCTGCACCAACGTTGGGGACGCTCATGAGCTTATGAAAAAAAAAAAAAAAAAGACTCAAGGTATCAAAATCCCTTCCTGTAATTACATCTAATCACATCTGCTGAGCAGGGGGCCAGCATTAAAAAAATAACTTCATTAAGTCTTGCATAACAAAAGAGACCCCACAGAATTAGTGCCCAGCTTTAAGTGAACAGAATAAGTCTTTCATTAGGGCTGCATTAAAAAAAAAGCAGTGTAAAATAAAGCATGCGTCCAGATGAAAGCATTAAAGTCATGCATTACAAATATATGATTTTTAAATAAACAGCAGTGGTTAAGATGCACGTGTGTGTGGTATTTAACGATGGCTGGCCATGTGTGCTTATTAAGCACCTTTTTGCTGCAAAGCCTCCCACACCCGCTGAATGCTAAATAGCTTCAATAAACAGCTTCGACACCACGTGACTACACTACTACTGCATGCAATCAACACCCTGACGTGTGTGTAAATGTGGCTTTGAAACAAATGCACGTTCAAGCACCTCGCAGTCCGATCCCTGACTAAATAACTTTGGCCGTTCCTCTGGGACTCTCTGGTTCCTAACTGAGTAAGAGAGGAGGCAGGTGCAGCAGGAGGACTCTGACGTGTTTTCCAAGCTGAGGGAAAATGAGTGTGACTATGAGGGCCGTGTCAAGGTAAAAGCCTGCTCACACTGCTGTTTCCAGGGCTGCTGCCCTGCTGTGTGTCAGCAGCTAACGTATTCTGTAATGAGAGCCCCGGGTGATAGATGAGTGTTAGTTCTCCACATAGAAAGATCTATAGTAAAATATTAACTGTATTACGTAGCAGAACCTCTGAGAACATTTGTCGTTCTGGTTAAAGGCGCCACGCGCTCATCATGAGCACAATTTTTACACATGTTAGGCCTCCAAGGATGGAACTGAACTGCTCTCTTTTCAGGCTTAATTTTGAAAAGAAGAAGTTGGAAATCACTGTGGAGTTTCTCTAATTCACACAAGATCAAAACAACACACACACACACACACACACACACACTCAAATATATACATACAATCTTAAAAATGTTTACATAATTATCCCTTAGTGAGTAGCAGAGAAATCACAAACTCCTTGTAGATTTCCAATGACCAAAGTTGTTGGTTCTGTTTGAGGTGAATAGAAGATTTTGGACATCAATGGCAGATCATAAAACCTTTCTTCAGGTGGCATTTAGGTCGAACATATAGCTGTAAATTTCAGTCCAGCCTGAGGGTCCAAACCTGAAAACCCTAAGGCACATTTGGCATATACCTTTTTTTCTTTTTTTGATATTTTACATTTTTGGCTACAGGTTAGTTTCTACTGAAAGAAACCAGTGTTATGCGACAGCAAGAGATTAAAATTATGCAATGACTAATTCTGAATTGCATAAAAAGTTTAAACTGACACTGATTCTGGGGGGTCATGTGACTTCTAACAGATGAATCAAAAGATGTTTTAGTCATTAAAATGAAAGAACCAGAGGTGAAAAAAAGCAAGTCCATTCATACCACAGGACTCAAAATTCTCAAGACTTGATTAGAAATTGTGATAATTTAAGTTATTCTCATGCTCTTGTATTAAATATTCTAGAGCATCTAAAACACCTACGAACAAATCAAGAGATGTTCAGTCATTTCCAGCATTTAACATAAACATCCAAGCACAAACACCCCTTGTGTGGTGCTGACAAAGAGATACAAAAACTTGCATACTCACATCAACAGAGTAGCTTCGTAATGGAGGAGGAGTTTTATGGTAGCACTCAACATTTTTTATTTTTTATTTTTTGCAAACGCAGCGTTTTAGATTCACACTACAGCAGAGCCCTCGCTCTGGCGTCTCCGCCGCCTGCTCTCGTACCGACTCTTCCCATCCAGTTATCTTTCTGATTTCCATCGCCTCTTCTCCACGCTCTGTCTGTCTTTCATCTCGTTCATCCACCCCCAATGCTCTTTATCATAAGTTTTACTTCACAGTCAACCTGTTCCTCCTTCTTCACCCACACTCTGCTCCCATCTCTTTATGTCCCTCCATGTCTTGTCCTTTTCAAACATTTTGCTTTGATATTTTTTCTGTTTTTCCAGACTTTTCTAAACTGTTTTTATCTAACATTGTACACTGCTTTACCAAAAGAAAGTCACCACCTAGATATTACAGAGCAAATAGGTAGGAGCTTCCCTCTGGATAATTACTGCAGAGATGTTTATGTTCTAATTCATTAAACAATTATGTCAGAAGACATTGAGTAGTTGTGTAAAAGACATGAATCAGTTTAAGAAGGGTCAGGATAGGCAAACAAAAAAAAAAGAAAAAAAAAAGTTGGAACTATTATAACTGGGTTAGGAAATGTTCAGCGCATTATTAAGTGGGGAGCCATCACCTTTGCAGAAGAAAGACAGAATTCATCGGCCTCAAGTTGTGCGGGAGTAGTCAAGGAATATGAGATATTATTTTCACACATCATTTCCCACTATAGACTCTACGCCTCAACCCCAAGGATCATCTTTGGGATATTCTGGTTAAGAGTTGGGAGGAGGTCTGACTCTCCCAGTATCGCTTAAAGCGCTTGGAGAAAAATGGCTGCAACTTTGGACAGAAATAAATGCGACATCGCAGAAGATATTCAAATCAAACCTAAAGATTTTTCCAGTGAAATATTAGGATGCGTGACCTTTTTGTGTGCCCTGTAAATACCTTATTTAACTGATTTTATTATCTAGTTTCTAAATGTCAAAGCTTCTCTCTTGTTACTGAAAGGAAAGGTGACACATTCCAAATATTCTGAAACAGCACTTTGCAGGAATACAATTTATCAAGTGTATCACACATGATTGTGTACTCCTGGATTTAGACCAACATTTTGATAACTTGAACACTGCTGACCTCTCAAAAATACTTGGGAGCAAACATATACGGTCAGTTCAGAAAGTGGAAAAAAGCTAATGGAAGTAAGTGACAATATGGGCTAGTTTTAAACGAGAACTTAAGTTAGTTAAGTTTTGTTTACAACATTGGCAGCAGGTGTGATTTATTTATATCCCTGCCATTACACTGGAACGTAGTTGTCCTTTTTTGTACCAGATAAATGTTTTTGTTCACCCAAAATCAACAAGTCACAGTAATTTCTACAATTTATCCATGCCTTTTCTTATTATTACAATACATGATGAGACTCCTCTTGAACCCTTCATAAAGGTCAAACTTTAAAAAAAAAAAAAAAAATAAATAAATATTTGTGCACAACTTCTAAGGAGTTAGTGAGAAAGTGGAACTTTTACTTCTGGTTTGGGTTATTTGTGAATCTTAGAAAATCCATGATGGACAGCGTTCCACAGAAACCTGGAAGAGTGCTGATAACATCTAGATGTATTTATTGCTCAAACCGAGTCGTGCCGAGCAGCTACCTCTGTGCTTCGAGAACAACTGCACCAAACAAACTCTGTTCAACCAAACAAAATAAAAACAACACCTGCGTTTTTTTTTTTTTATTCCTTACTGAAAATAATACCGGTTCTCAGCACTCGCCTTCAATCGGGGAGCTATAATTGTCTGCAAGGTTTTGGAAACTTAAACACAATGTTACTTATAGCTTATAGCTCGTTTCCCCATTAGACCACAAATTATTGGCAACTGCAAATAGCTGCAGTGAAATAAGAGATAAGTCATTTATGAAATTCCTAGATCATTACGCCGTATTATCTGCTGCTAAATATAGCACTGAATTGATGCTCTTTTTGTCTGTGTAGAGACTGGACTGGAGTTACAGAGTCTTAAAAGTGGATCTGATCTGGAGGGAATAAGCTAATGGCACCAATACTTTAAACCAAGCAAGGCAAAATACCTTTTGGTCATTAGGCACTTTGCTGCAACCAGTTTCCACTGAGACTCTGATTTACTGTAGCCACTTTTACTCGAAGATTTTGAGTTTACATATTGTCTCCTGCTTTTTACAAAGACTAAAATAACACAGCAATATCCAAGTAATCTGAAATGTCAACTTTTAAGCAGCTGTAAAAATATTTGTTGCTTTTCTAATTTAAATATAACTTAATTTAATCACACTGTGATAAAAACCCAAACGTGCTATTAAAAAATGTGTATGCGCATGGAAATATGTAAATAAAACTGAAAATACATACATGAAGTAAATACATACGTACATGTAGCAATAATTTTAAAATGTTTTAGAAAACTTTGTGAATACATAATGAATGTATGCATTCATTACACATACATTCATTATGTATGAATACATAGATAATGAATACATTATGAATACATACTGAATACAGTAAATAAATAAATTATTTATTTATTTATAAATAATTTTTATTTATAAAAATTATTTTTATTTAATCTTCTGATTTATTTATTCAATGATATAATTTGATTAATTTATTTTTCAGCACATCAACGTTAGTGCCGTTGGGTTTAACTTTCCTTTAGACAAGATGATTGGAGCCACACACTTAAAAAATGTTTATAGGATTTATGATAGATAATTAATAAATAGTAGAAAAAAAATCTATATTTAACTACTCAATTGATTATTTACACATTTAAATAGAGGTACATTTTCCAGTCTAAATGATGGCATATATAAATAATCAAATCATTCTTTTTGCGTTACTACCGTCATTGTACTTATCGCCCCAATAGAAAATCTACCTTCCCCATGCCTGTTGTAAACTATTACCTCTTTTTTAAAACTAATATTTTTTCTAAAATGTTCTGAAAACCTAATAATTTCATCCTATTAGTTAGTTTTACCGGGACATGTTTGCATTTGATGCACAGTTTCTAATTGACAATATAGTTAGCTTTAAAAGACGCTTAATATCTTCTTTTTTTATAAAAACAAAGGAAAACGAAGTAAATATGGAAATCCATCACCAACTACCAGGTACAACACAATCACTGTGGTTCATCTAAAATTTCCCTGTGGAGGATGTTACATTATGGACCTGAGAGTGCTCAATTATTCAGTGAAGCCATTTTGAAGAAGCAGCAGGTGCTTTCCCCCTCCAATGATTGGTCCCCACATTGCAGTTTCACATATCAGTTTATTACTATTTAAAATAAACGTTTAAACCCTGACTTCCTGTCCCTGGATGGATCTCTGTGTTCCTAAATCTCGGCAGAATGGGGAATAAACAAACAGCTATGATGAAAATTCACATGAATATGTGAAAACGAAAAATAACCGGGCATATCCCTTTTCACTGTTGCTTAGCAACAAAGAATGAGTACAGCTCAAAAGGGCGAGCGGTCGTCAGCCATTCAGAAGAAGGTCGGTGGTTTGATACCAGACTGGGGACTTAAAGTGTGAAAAAGTCCACAAAAAGACACAGAGGTATGATTTGTCTCTTCGCTTCATCACTCTGCATGTGTCGGTGAAAAACACAACACAGTTTAAAAAGAGATGCATGAATGTTTCTGTGAATGTGTGAGTGTAGCTTTTAGTGTCTTCTAGTCTTTCAGATGTCAAAAAGACAAGAAAAGAGCAAAAATAAATGTCGTCCATTTATGGTTTAGCAGCTACCTGAAACCACTAGAGCAAGTAAATACAGCTGAAATCAGATATTTACAGAAACTGTATAAAAGCACGCAATGTTTATTTTCACACAGGACAAATTGGGCCAAACCCAGGCTGGTTATGTCACTGCTTTGTGCCACTCAGGAAAAATAACAGCTTAATATTTGCTAAAATACATTAATGATAAGAAATATATTTACTTTCTTTAAATTCAGACATTTAAAAATGTCAAATGTTTTAGCCATCTTTCCACAAGCTTCCTTTTCACGTACAAGCCCATGTGTAACTAACTTGGTGGCATGCTTATAGGGTCATCCATACATGAAGTGTCCCTCTTGCAGCAAAACATGTCTACGTCATGATGCTGCCAGCACCGTGCTTCACAGTGAGGATGCTGGTCTCAGGTTTGCAACCTGCCTGCTTTTCCCTCCAAATATAATAATGACCATTATGGCCCAAACTCTAATTCCAGCATAATGCTGTTGGAGGAATGGCTTCTTCTAGTGTGAATGTCTAATTGCTCAATGTATTTGATTCCTCATTAGAAGAGATGGCTTAATCCAGGACACTCACCTTCATGACAGGCTGAGCGAAGTACTTGGCACTCCAGTCACACAGTCCTGTTTGCAGGGCCAGACTCACGTAGTTCCTGTGACCACCCGGCTCCTCACCGTCTTCAGCTGCCTGAACCCGCGCACAAGAACACATGCTCAGCGACGAGAAGCTCATTTTCCCAGTTAATAGCCGTTTTTCCCCACAACAGAGTTTTTTTTTTTTCCTTCACCTGTTCTGGTCCCTTGTCAAACATCTTGCGTGTGCGGGGGAACTGGTGTGAGTGGGGTGCCTGTCCTCCCAGCGTTGGGGTGTAGGGCGGCCGTGTTGCTGGCTGCTCTCTGGTTGGGGGCTTGGGGACTTCATTGGTCAGACTGGAGCTGCTGGTACTGGGCATGGGCGGAGAGCCGCTGGAGGAACAACAATGCAATGAAGATGCATTTAAAAATCACGGCAAAAATCAACATCAAAATCAATCTCGATTTCCTCACCCTGCCTGATGGATGTGCGTGCCTTTGCTGGTGGGACTGGCCGGCGCCGACTGAGTCAGAGATCCAGAGTCCAGGATCCGCTGGGGTCTGGCATTCATGGTTGCCTGGTGAGGAAAACAAGCATTTGCTGCAGGGCTGTTCTTCAAATTTGAAAGGTTCTGATACTTTTCAGCCGTTTCAAAGGCTAACATCATTTTGTTTGGTTTAGAAACACACATAACACATAAAATCTGATAATCACCTCCAGCTGCAGCTGCATAAGAAGTGCAGCACTTTACAAACTTTGCCCAAATTTCAAGAAGTTTATCTCATTAGGTGAAGCAGGTAATATTGCCTCTTCATTGTGAGGTGTCTAACGATGGTGTGTGAGGGAGGGGTAAACCTAATAAGGACAATGGAGGCGAAGCATCACTGATGAATAGTAGAGTTGTTGTTTACTGGAGCTCGGTGCAGAGAAAACTGGGCTACTTAAATCTTGTTAGCAGAGGGAAACACATTTCACTGGCTGGCATTGGCTGGGATTTGATTTCTATGCTAATTACCGGATTGTAGCAAGCATCTTTTGTTTGTTTGTGCATCTAAAAGGCTGGAGGGGGGCAGAGCATCTTAATGTAAGACTTACACATTTTCTATGAAATCTACAGTGTTTGTGACAGAGGAATGAGATCTGATATGAGATATGAGCGATGCGTCAAGGAGCCATTAGTGTGAGACAGATTTAATAGAGTTTCTGTGGAAGTGGAAAAGTAGATAAAAAGCTAATGGGAAGCTTTTTTTTTTTTCTTTCTCATGTTGATAAGACAGTGTGTGGCTAAGAAAGCAGAAATGGATTTTTGAAAATAAACTGAATCTGCAGCAAGCACAAACAGATATACCAGGAAAATATGAATCTATCCTTAGAGAACAAAGGATGAACCAAACAGGAGATATAACCTGTTTACCTGAAAACTCATTAGGTAATCTGACCCAGTTTTGTGACTTATCCATGGATCCTTAATTGAAGAAGCATCACACAAACGGGGCAGAGTTTACGCAGAGTTGTTGGTAAAGTGGGGTAATCGTTTGCACTAGATTCTCTGCTTCCCACTGGGAAACTCCCCCACTGGGATCTTGTTCTGCCTCACCACGATCCATCTCCACATACTGCCTTGAAACTCAGTCAATCCAGCAAACGTAACATGTTTCCTCTATGAATGGGCTTAAGCTGCAGTAGGACACAGCTGAGGTATTCCTGTAGTGTCTCTCAGTTGAATATCTTATACCACCTCCTAAATTAAATGCATGTCATGTTTGTAAATCAAAACATTTTACCAGGTAAAATTAAAGAGAGGCACACAGTGGCAGTGAATCAACATTTATCTGACAATCTACGAAAAAAAAAAAAAAAAAACTGCAGAAATTTGAAGCAATGAAACATAAAATGCAAATGAAGTCTAATATTTCAGGAGATATTGACATGAATCAAAAATCAATAAGAAGGAAAATAGCTGGACACTACAGATAGAAAACAAATTCAACGTATTGATCATCTGAGAAGCAAGTAAATCCTAATTAGCTTCTGACCTTGCTCACTTAGTTAAAATCAATAACATCTGAAAGTCAAAATCCTAATTAAAAGAGCTGGATTCTCTGTTTAGCCGATGTTAACACTTGTGAACCTAAGAGGATAGTCTTTGATTAAGTTGCCTTTGCAGGAAATAAATCAACATGTAGCTCCATCTCTGGCAGAAGTCAGCAGCCTTTACATTCTGTTCTCACTGCTACTGAATACAATTTATCAAAGTTGCAAAATCTACTTGACAGAGAAATCGGCTGGTGATCGAAAAATCATTCGGTGACTGAATGTGACGGATGTGACAGAAACAAAAAATATTTTTATCCAATTAGTGGACTAGAGTGGGGTTAGAACAACACTGTTCCATGTGGATGCTGTCACTGAGGAAGAAGACTCACTTATTTATTTTAAGTAACAGAGAGGTATATATACAAAAAGTAGTCGGGTTTTAATATCATGAGGCCAATAATTTATCCAAACTAATCCCAGAATGATTAATCAGAACACAACTAAGACTGATGGACTGTATGCTGCTTTTGAACCAGATATTAAAGGAAAAAAATAAAGGTTTTGAAATGCTCAATAATGACGTCATGTTTTTACGTCATAAAAATCAGCCATTTTAACAGGGACGTGTAAACCTTTGAACTGACTCAGTACCGAAACATCCAATAAGACATGCTGCAGATTAAGTGACTAGTTTTCATTGTAATGTGGAATATAGTAAAATGCTCCAGCACACTAACAGCTTTGATCTTAAACAATAGCAGCCAACTTCTACCTTATTATTTTTGCAACGATAAGTCATTGAGACTTCACATTATCAGAAACTTTAACCACAACAAACCTTGTATGCGATGCTATTGAGTACTTTCATGGCCAAATCTGAAACTTCTGGGAACGGATCTGCAGCTAGGTGGAGCAGCACTCTCCATATCTGAGTGTAAACACTGTTGAAGGACACACCTGGAAAGGACACACAGGGAGAGACAAGTTCAGACGTCTCACCAAACAATACTAACACAGCAGATGAACAGCTAGAGATGAAAACCACATATTCACAGCTGTTAAAAAAATACATAAGAAGACATGACCCATTCTGTTATTGTTACCACGCAATTCAGTAAGTATTCAGGTTCTGCGTTCCAGAGATGAACGTGTTTGGGTATGAAACATGCACATCAACCCCAGAATAAAAGAAAAAGATCTTGCATTTATGGAACAAATACTTTGTCGTAACTTAGCAAATACAAGAAATTCTTGGTCTGCTTTAAAGTAAACCTAGATATTCTTAACATCTCTAATTATAAATATTCAACATAAAAATAGATCTCGATAGACTTCAGATGGTATAAAGTAGAGTAGGCCCTTTTCATTTTCTACTCCTTATTTGGAGTCTTCACCAACCAACTGTGTTAAAACCTGCCCTAAGTGGGGAGTTTTACTTCCTTTCGCTCATTTATTTTATTTCTTGCTTCTTTTTGTCTCCAACTTATTAAACTTCTCGTCTTCCTCCTCCTCAGCTTCACGTTGCTTAAGAGAACCTCTAATATGTCCCCTTCTCTCTTTTGTTTCCAGTTTCAAGTTGATTCTCCTTCACTTTCCTCCCTTGCAGATGTTTCCGCCCATGCGTTCGCTCCTTCTAAGTACATAAATGGCAAAAACCCCCAGGAATGACTGAAGTCTGGACCCAGTAACTGAGGACAGCCCTCTCCAAAGAGGACTCGGGGGAACGCTCACTAGTCCCATGCCTCAAAGAGCGGACACCACAGAGAGATGACTGAAACAGGAAGAAAGACAAAGGGGTTAAAGCTGGCGCATTAGGTTGAAAGTATATGAAACAAGAAAAGAGTTGCTGCTAGAGAGGTTGGAAGGCGTGTCTGGAGTAGAAAAAATGAGGACAGAGGGGGACAACTTATTTCAGAACCCAGTGTCCTCTGACAAAAGCAGAGAATTTCAAAAAGTAAAAAAAAAAAAAAAAAAATTGGGAGAGAAAGGGGTAGAGGGATAGAATGTGATTAGCAAGGTAGCTGCTGCAGTAAATAGACAGTGTGGGGGGGAAAAAAGCAAAGCATGATTGCTCTGCGTCATAAGAGCATACAAATTAAAACTACTGACTCTACAGAGACATCATGACAGACAGCATCATGATGAATGTGAAGCTGCAGGACGTCCTTATCCGTCACTCGTGTCATTTGAGCAAAAGTGAAATAAATGTGAAGTCATAAAAATGTTAAAGTGCTAAACTAAATGAACCACTGCACCTCCTTTTATAGTGCCTCCAAATTTCTCGCAAATGGCTCAAATTACAGTTAACACACCACAGGGATTTTAGGGGCCTTAAGCGCTGCAACATAAAAAATAGTTCAAGATGTTTTCAAAGCATCCCTGAAGCTCCACTCCAAGCAGCAGCACATTGTAGCCGCCGTATGTCGCTCTTTAAACGGAAAACACATCAAATCCGCTGAGTGGATATAAATCCCTGAAAAAAATAATAGTCAATTCAGATCCAGAGTGTTTTAAATCATAAATGCTGGTGTAAAAATCAGATGAGCTTAAAACTGTTCATGTTGGAAGAATAATCTAGGTGAATATCGTCCACTTAAAGTCAAACTCCAATGTGTAAATTATCTTTCCAAAACGGATGCTTAGAGTGCTGGTAGCTATTCTAATCAATTACATCGTGTTTTCTAGTGTATTCAGTGCCGTATTAGTCAATATTCTGCTTTTAAAGAATCGATTTCTGTGCTGTTGAGCAATAACGCTTAAGAACTTCTATGTTCTTCCTTTGGTTTTAGCAGCTTTTCCAGCCAATATAATGCAGCTTCCTGTGTCTGAACATTTTCACATCAACTAATACATGGGATGAGCCAGTGCTGTGTGTTCTGGATGTTTTACCAATTAGCTTGGGTACATTTGCTCTGGATGACAAACCTGCCATGTTCTCCACAAACCAGTCGTACACAGGCAAACTCATAATACACTGAATTTGAAGGCAACATCGATGTCAGTCAAAGCCATTTTTTTTCTGGCTATATTTCACATCCCTCAAACCTAATTGTTTCTCTTCAACATGTTTTATATGCGAGCAGAAGTTTATTTACTAAATAAAAATAACATTATGACCTGGAGTGGCTCTGTTGTACATTAGATGAAGAAACTAACAGATTTTATTTCCGTCATGGGGCTCACTCTTCAGATCTCTGTAAGTGCAACTTTGAAAATGGCTTCTTTTTAATTGTTTATATAACCTTAAAAAGAGTATTCACTTAATTATAGCAGCTGCAGCTCGACTTGTGTGAAACTCACTGCATATTCACCCTGCTGGAACTTAGCAGGGGTTTAGAGATAAGGATGGAAAGCTCCTCCACATTCAAGGTTAGTTCATCCCATTTTTCGGTTTTCCTGTTGCAATTCAGCAAGTTGATGCGATGCACTTATCAAACTTTGTTGTGAATTTATCTTTGTTCTTTTGGAAGCAATACAAGACGTTTGGTTATGTATTTCTGTACATCCTTAATGATCCATTTTGCTTCAGACTTATAGTCTTAAAAAAAAACAAGATCTAGGATGGATGTTGAGGATGCAGATGGAAAGACGAACAGATGGGTAAACCATGGATAGATAACTAAACAAATTAAGTGAGTAAGTGAGTGAGTGAGTGAGTGAGTGAGGGAGGGAGGGAAGGAGTGAGTGAGGGAGGGAGGGAAGGAGGGAGGGAGGGAGGGAGGGAGGGAGAGACAGACGGACGGACGGACGGATGGATGGATGGATGGAAAAAACAGATTGTTGCACAGGTAGATGGAAGAAACACTGATAGATGGATGGAAGAAATAAAAGTCTGGATGGCAGGATGAATAGGTGGATGATGGACCAACAGACACATACAAGAAATGATGACTCAACATTTAGGAAATGGAAATGAAAACCTTTTCATGCTCCTTTTTCCACACTAATCAAGATATTTGAAATCCTTACATGAAAATCAGAATTTATCTGGACCGCGTGGGACCTCTGAGTTTACAATGTCCTTATATTCCATCCTGCATCCTGGTTAATGGACAAAACTGAGCCTTAGCTTCATTTTTCAAAACAATAGTGCCTAACGGAGACAGCAGCGTGGTCTCCACAGTGTGGTAGGATTTGTACAAATGATAATAGTGGGAAGTTAATAAATCACTTTACTCCAACGCTGCCCTCCCACACAGCTTTGCTGTCCTGCTGCTCTCCGGCAGCTCGGTGTTGAGCAGAGGCCGCAAACAGCATTTATGGCTTCAATTTGCTCCATGATAACGCACAGGCCCTCACTTCTTGGTTTTGCTCACATAAAGATTTGATAAAACCGAAATGGAGATCCAAAAAAAAGGGGGCGATTTAGAAGTTTTCAGGAGAGGAGAAACAAAGGCCCCGTGGGTTTCATGAGAACAACTTCAAGTCAAACAAGGAAGGAACAAACAAATCAGACTGATGAGTGAAGCATCCAATAAACCTATAGGTGATTTTTGGTCACAACAAAATGGAAAAACAAACAAAAAATAATATAAATATCAACTCAGATGACATGCAGTTTGTGCTCTATGAATGCAGTCTGTTTGCTTATGCATGCAGCACCATGCAAGGTGCAAACAGGCTCACAGGGAGGCCAGGACTCTGGCGCAGAGCTGAGTGGGCGAGGGGCCAATATGTCTTTTAACCTGTTCACCCTGGAACCTCGTTCCAGCAGAAAGTGGCTTGAAAAAGGTTTAGAACGAGCATCAAATGGTTGATTTGTTGGATGAAAGCGAAAGAGCAAATGTTGTGCCAAAACTGTAATTACTGTTTCTTTCATTAAACATTCATTTCCAAGGCTTTAATGTTGAGTGTTTTGAAAAGGCAAACCCAAAATTTCAGCAAGAGGGGATGACTGACAAAACGCTCGGCTTAAATTTGGATTTTTAAGATTCGGTTTAAGTGATTAAATTGTTTCCTGAAGAAAATGGAGAAGAATGACCTGAACGAGTTTCAGGGAGAAATGTGAATATTTTTGTAAAGACAGTTACACAGCACATTGTATTGAAGCTGTAAAAACAATAGCAGAGGAAAACTGATTATCTGATATGAAGCTACGCAAACAGAACAACTGGAATTAATTTAGGATGGAACTGAAAGAAAATGTGCTGGAAAAAAAACCCTCTCTTCGCCATCTGGACTTTTATTATAAGTTAATTTAAAATTTATGTTTTGATTGCAAACATTCAAAGTTAAAATGACAAAACTGGACATGACACAGCAGCGGAGAACATAGAAAGAAGTGCAAATTAGGAATAAAAAAAAGAGCAAAAAGTTTTATATTTCTGTTGTTGAGGTGGTGGGAACTATTATGTAGTGGCTGCCTGAGCAGATAGTCAAGCCTGCCAAACACCGGAGAGCAATAGACAGTGGAGGAAAGCACTTTAATGTCCTTCATGCTCCTCCCTGATGCTCTTTACACTTTGTTTGTCCCTGCTGTTGTTTGGAAGCAGTGACTCTCCCATGGGATGCCCAACGGTCCCAGTCTCTCCAAAGTGCCTTCATCCTCTGCTGTTTGTAATTTTCTGTCTAACGCTCAGTCCAGTGCAGGTTATCGCCAGCCTGGTTGAAACCTGTAGCAGCTGCTGTCCGAGCTGCAGCGTCACAGAGGTTGAGGTAGGGCAGATACACTGCGACGATTGTAATCAACGCATAAACTCCTGCTAAAACCTGCTGCAGGTTTAATGCAACAGGAGTTTATTGCCTCACTTATCACAAAAGTAACTAGTGTATTTTTTTTTTTGTTAAATCAACTTTGATTTCTGCATAAATACAAAAATAATAATAATACTAATATTTTCCATATGATTGTTCAAATATCCCTTCAACTCAGCAGCGGTTCTTGCATGGAGGACAGCCTGTCCATGTTATTTATGAACACAAATCACATTCAACTGGCATTGACAGGTTTGATTTTTTACTGAAGTGGGGATGTGATACAAAGTTTGGTTTGGTTTAACCATTAACACTGACACAAACTAATTCTACACAGAAACCAAGAACACTCAAGTTAGTTTAAGCAATAAAATATTCAACTATAGAGATTATATTTGGACTAGATAACAACAATTAAAACATATATTTATTTTTCAATCTAATAAGATTGGAATCAACAAGCTTGGATATTATGAGGCCCGACTCTGGGTTTGCAGTGCATCAGGGATATTAATATTAAAGCTGCACCCAGTGAACTCAAGTGTCTGATTCAGACATAAATGTGAGCAGGAGAAAGAAACAGGCAGTGAAAGCTTTGTAAAACTTGTTTGGCATGCTTGACTCTTCTTTGATAGCAACCCTGATTGAAGCTTTAGGTTCACAAATGAAGGGAACTTTAAAGGCTGAAAGAGTAAAAGAGAGAAAACTAGAAGCAGAAGAGCAGAACATGCAAAAAAGCTTCAACAAGAGAAGCTCGACTTTGAAGCTCCGTTTTTTTTTCTGTATTATTTCTACATAAAACCAGCTGCCATCTAAATAAAACAAAGAGATCCCCCTCCTGAACCCATATGACGTAACAAGTTTACCCAGTTTAAGTAGGGAATCTGAACCGATCTATTGTCCCGAAACCGTGGGATGGCTGTTACCTATAAGGGAGTTTAGGGAGGAATATGAAGAAACCCGCCGCATCTTGTCGATGGTCTCAAACGAGAGGATGTACTCGTCGTTGTCGGGGCTCCCCAGCGTGCTGCTGGCGCTGCTGCTGGTGCTCAGGTTACCAGGAGAAAAGGCTGCTGGGCCGCCTACAGAGCGGAAATTGAGAAAAGTGGCATTTATTACTCCAGTTGCTGCTGGATAAATTGTAAAATAAAAATAAAGGAAACCATATTACACCCCAATAAGTAAGGAAACAAACTTGTCCTTGGAGACCAACCCCTCATAACTTCATGTGAGCTTTCCGGTCCAGGCATGAGCTGCTGTAGCTCACAGTTTCCCCAAACACTACTCTGACTCATACGAGCTCAAATGCCATGCATCCTCCTAACAAACCACAGGCTGAAATGTGAGAATGGAGATTGGTGGAGAATAAAGAGCCGCTCTGCTCGGAGCTCATTGATGATAAACACCCCAGCGCATCGGAACGAGCGGCGAGAAGGTGAATTAGAAATGGTGTCAGCAGTAGGTTAGGCACTTCACCGAGCGCCGGTGATTTAGCGCTACACGCAGCTCATGCATTACTCAGTGTGGCAGCGCTGGTTCGGAGGGGAGCACGCCCGGCTTTGGCTGCCTGAATCACCGAGAGGTGACAGAAACACAGAAGGCTGGAAGTGACAGCAGGCTGGTGTGTGCTTGGAAAGTTGTGGGGAGGAAATGTTAGACTGACATTTCTACAGCTGGCCGTAAATGGGATCATTTGTCTTTATCTGGAACCTATTTTAATGAACAAAACGATCACACTTTTTCAGCCTGATAAATACAGCTGTAGGAGGCTGTATGATATCAACATTTAACTAAATAAGGAAAATGAAAAGGTAAAAAAAAAGAGGGAATTTGAGTCATTTATTAGAAGGATGGAAGTAATCTGCTCCAGTTATCTGTCTTTAAGGGAGGAGGGCAGCATTATGGATTTTCCAGGTACATAGATCCATTTCATAGCAGAGTCAAGTAACTATGTTATCTTCAGTTGTTATGACAATACTTTATCAAATTACTCAATCATAGCCGTATCTGATGTCTTAAAATTAGGCCTCTGTTTCTTTAAGAGGCTCCTGCCCTTTCTTATCCTCTACCTTCAGAAAGTTATCACAACATTGCCTTTTCATTATTCTCAGAAACTTTTAGGAGTGTTGGACTGAGACGTAGTTAATATAGGTGGAGCACAGCATGCTGCTATTTGACAAATGTTAACAACAAGCCAACAAGTTGCATTAGGATGAGCTGAAATGTAAGCAATTTTCTTAAATTACATTTCTCTACTTTGAGATTGTCAAATTCATTCCCAGAAATTGTCAAAATTTAAGAGATGGACTCCGGAAGTCCATGGATTGATTGGTGTGAGCTCTCTGTTGCCTAGTGGTGATGCATCAGTGAGGCTGAAAAAGGCTGAAAGTGGCATGCAGGTCTTGTGACGTCTGCTTTTGTCATGTTGGTTCAGTCACAGAGAGAAACAAAATCCAGAACTTCAGATGAATATTTTGGTTTAGTTCAAACTCGGAGCATGTTGAATAGAGGTTTCAGTAACAGGCTCCTTCAAAAGTCCGCAACATGCTCACCATCCACTGCTAGAGATCTTTCTTATCGAGTTAAAAATACAGCAACATTCTGTAAATGTTCTATTACTGTCAACAAAATTTTCAATGAAACTGAACAATTTTCAAGAATTATTATTCATTCACAGGAATATAACACTTCATATAACAGTCCTGCAACCTCTAGCCCCAAAAGAAATGTCTCTAAACCTTCAGCACCAAGGACAGCTCAGCGTTTCCGAGAACAAAGTGAATGGGGAAAACAACGCCGCGGCTCTTTTTATTGGATATTCTCAGTAAATATGGAATCAAATTCTTAGCAGGGCTACCCCATTAATAATAGCTAAGAGGAAAACTGAAAAATATTTCCATTCAATGAGATAAGCAGAACTGCCTCATTAAAAAAAAAAAAAAAATCACCACATATTGAACTGGAAATTAAGTGAATGGGAAAAATGTCGTAGAAAAAGAAGATTAAACCCTTTTAAATACAGGACTAAAAATGTTAAATTGGTACTTTAAACTAACGGTGGAGAATCTGAAGAGTGGTTGGGGGATTGAAGGTACAGAAGCAAATAATGTGTAAAAAAGAATTTAAATTACTACAATCCATTTTCATGAATACTTGAACTGCATGCGTCAGGTTCTCTGCTCTACCTGGAAACGGGGAATGAACTCAGTGAAAAAGTTGAGCTCCCTACTGCAAACTCCACCAGAGTCACTTTCTATCATAACTGCATAAAGAGTGCAGATATATTAAAGATGTGGCTGCACAACATTAGAAAAACACCCAATTGAAATACCATCTCTAAATATTTAGATGATGTTATGATAAAAACACATTTTTAGTTTGTTTTTTTTTAAATATCCCGTTTTATGGGGTTTGGAATCGCAGCCACTAAAAACACACAGCGACCATAGAATGTGGTGAAAGTTCATCGCCGTCCTGCTGAACTTGAGTGGCTGGCGCTCAAATAATAATTTCCCACCAAATATTTCATCTGAGCAGCACTATGTGATTGTAATACAGCAAAAACGGAAATTGCAATGGCAAGTGCTATGCAATATATTGTGCAGCATAGATTACATCTGAAGAATTTCATTTCTGTTTTTTTTTAATTGAGAAAAGACACATTTCGGTCATTTTATTCCTCTCCTACAAACAGCTGCCTTTAATCTCAGTTTCTCACCATCCATCTCTCTCTCTGTCTTACCTTCTTCATTCAGGTTGAGGTTCTGTAGACTTTTGTTCAGATTGCGGGCGGTCGTTACCGCTCGGATGTTGGTGTAAGAATTGACGGATCGCAGACGAGGGATGGCCGGGCTGTCTCTCACTGGAGTCATGTTGCCGGGTTCTGATTGTTGGCAGAGACGGAAGAAAAGAAAAAAATGTGTTATTGATGTTTGAAACGTAAAGACAAAACCTTCTGCTGCCCTCATTTTTGATAAACTGTGTGAATTTAGGAACATTTTAAAATTTTAAACTAAACTTGTAAAACTGGAGAATATTTCCTTAAAAGAAAAAAAATCCAGCAACAAGAAATGTCAGAGCGCTGTACAACTATTTGATTTGCTCCCCTTTTCGGTGTTAGTCTAATGCTTTAAAGGGGGAAATTAAACTCGATATGCTACATAAGCATATGGTTTACCGCATACACTTATCCTTGAATTCACTACACACCTGCCTGTAACTCCAGCTTTAGACTTTGCTCAAAAATACTCAAAAATCTGTGATGGATAAATGGAGGGCAAGATTTGCGAAGCACACTTTCTAATTCATGGCAAATGAACATTATTAAAACAATTATAGGCCTTGTGGGAATAATTCTCCTCAAAGAATGCCAAATAGCACGATAAATTCACTTTTGGTGAAAGAAAGAAATCAAATTGTGATGTGTTTTCACATCTTCAAACAAGATCTGGTTCAAATCACCTGCAGCGTTGGCTGGCGATGGCACGGCGTAGTTCTTCTCTTCTTCTATGAACTGGAGGGCGACTGTGCAGAAGTTGCTCTCGTACTGGACCACCAGGTGACTCAGGGCCACCACCAGCTCCTGGGAAATGGCAAAAGCACAACAAAAAAAAAGAACATCCAGCATACTCAGGGATTTTTTTTAAAGAGACCATCTTGATACTCTTACTGAAATTTTGAAATATTTGTAACTTTGGGAAAATGCTATTAGTGAAATAATCTACCAGTAGAATTAGGCTTTCTTTTCGTAAATATTAAGGAATTAATTACTTAAGAAAACCTTCCATATCTTGCAGAAGAGATACTGGTAAGTTTGCTTTGTCTTATTTCAAATGTTCTAAGATAAATGTACTAGAAAGAAATGTCTTATGCTTGCATTTCAAATGCATCATTACAAAGAAACGCCCACAAAATAAAAAACGTTATTTGTAAATCTCAGGTACGTTTCTGCTTCCATGAAATCCACGATGAAGCTGCATTTAATGTGTGATCGGTGATGAGTGCGACTGTGCAGAGACCTTGCGGACCACGGGGCTGCCGTCGTTGATGAGTTGAGCCAGCATCATGGCCACGTTGTGGTCGATGGTGGTGGAGTGGTCGGTCCTCTCCGCAGAGTTTCCAACAAATGTTCCCAGAGCAAACACGGCAGCACATCTTACCTGCAATGAGATACAGATGGCAAACCTCAACTTTCTGTTCTGCTGGCGTGTGATACAATGCTGTGAGCGCAACTCTCAGACTTTTAAACACTTTCCCTCTCATTTAAGATGCACAACACTGACAGAATGCCAAGTGAGACCAATAAATAAAAGTTTTAGAAGTAATTAAACACTAGTTCGTCTCCCAGCATCAGTATAAAATGTGGAGATCATCGGAGCTGCAAGCGTCTATTAGCTGATTGGCGGTACAGTATCTCATTTCTCTCTTTCCGCTTCAGTGGATGTTTAATCTAAACTCGGCGTCGCCCAGAGAGGATTCTCCATTAGCAACTGATGTCATAAACCAGACCAAATTACAGCACAAGAATTAATATTTTTCTGAGTGGTTTATGGTAGCAACACAAAAGCTTTCTGCTTTAGAGTCATGAAGATACACCATCATGTTCATTTTCCAATTTTGGCAATAGTTTTAAGAGCGGAGAAAACCTGTACCTTAATGTTGATGATTTTATTAGAGGTAAATTGCTCATCGTGAATATTTCAAGAGAACAAACGCATTTAGAGGAAACAGCAGAGCTTTTATGAATCCAAGAATTGATTTAAAAGCTATATTTTGTTTTCAATAAAGAAAAAGGAATAAAATCTAATTCAAGGTTTGACAATGTGAAGTGCTTTACTTGGTTTTAATTTCTGGTCGTGGTAAATTTTACGTCCTGAAGACAAATCTATAAAACCTTTATCTGGTTTCAACATGAAATCTTTCTTGATCCTTTTTCTTTCTTCTTTTTAAATCACAAAGTTGTGTCTGGTTCAGTAAAAATTTTAAATGACTTCAATCTGTTTCATTTGCAGTAAACAAAAAAAAAAACACTTGGCAAAACTTCTTAGACACTTTGAAACATTTAAACAAAGTCTTCAACAAAAAACTCTATCTTCTATGACTATAACATGCACACTAACTACGGAAATTTTTGATAAACACATTTTTCAGTCATCTGACTGGCAGTGTGCAGTCAGCGAGGATTATGGAGGGTCAGATCTAGTTGTTTTAATTTTTTTTATACACATGTATTCTTAACCACTTTTAGATTGTTTTTTTCTCTTTTTTTGTATAAACCTACATTTTGATGCTGCTGTTACACCTGAATTTTCTCTGTGTGGGACAATAAAAAATATTTCTATTTCTGGGTTAGCCAGTGAACCGTTTGGAAAACTGCAGTCACTTCAGCCCTGTCTTTGTTATCCAATTTAAACCTACAGGTACGGCATGAATGAAACATTTTGCAGTTTTGAATTTGTGATATTTTAAGACCTTGGTTTTCCTTCATACCAGAAACCAGACCTTGCTTACTAATCACGCAGATTATCTGCAAAATTAAAATGGGACTTGGTGTTGAAGTTACTGACAGCTCCCAGAGAGAGAGTTTAATATGCCTCTGGTCTTAAAGGTGTATTACGCAAATGTAAGGACAGACAGCGCAGTCTTTTGAGCATCTCATAAATCTCTGCCTTAGAGAGAAAAGAAACCAATTTTTTGTTTAATTTTCCTTTCATGGAAGCCTATCTAACAGAAAAGAGTTGTTTATTTAATAGAGGAAGAGCTAAAATTACACATGCTCTGAATGAGACATTCATGGTCGTCTCCTGACTGACTCCTTAATCCAGAAAACTATCAATACACCTCCATCATCGAAGGCAGCAAACAAGAGAAAACTCAAAATATCAACTGGATGGCAATTCAATGGATATGAAAATGTCCTTTAAAACTTTTTTCAACTACGATACACAGAGTATCTCAGGTTGAGCCCTGGAGCAAGAGGGCGACAGCAGCAGAAGACCAACTCAAGTGATGTTCCTGTCAACTACAAGAAACTAAAAAGTTACATTTCACACAGATTTGTCAAAGCCAGGCAAAGCTACAGAGTCAATACAGACTAAAATCTCAGGAATGTTTCCGACACCTTGTTGAACCAGGTAAACGCAAGGTGTACCTGACAAAGTGGCCGGTGAGTGCATTACTTGCTAAGTTTTTGTGAAATTCAACTCACTCATTTTTTTTTTAACAGGGTGATTGTCAGACAGACGCCTGAAGGTGATGTTTTACCTGCACCGTCCCATCAGGCTGTGCAAGAGGTCTTTGGTGTCTCCATGTGAGCTTTTTCTGACAACTTCTGTCAGAATAAAACAATCCTTAGTGGCCTCAAGAGTTATTATTAATTTAAAGCTGTGAAAGAAAACAAAATGTTTTGTGACTTTGTCAGAGAAACCCTGGAGAGACTGGACACTTCATGGTCAGCGACTTTAACCTGAGGCCTCCTCGATGCCGCTCGATACCAGAAAGGGGTTATTTGTTGCGGCATCCTCGTTATCGACTTCTTTGGTATCTGTCATTAAGTTTAAAAAGTAGGAAAGAGAAAAGCACTTTTCCATCGAATGAAACTTTGTCCTTGAATGTCTTTATTTTTTCACATTTTTCAACTAGACTGAAGCTACTGTACAAAGTATGTCTACAATTTTTTTTTGTCAAACTAAAATTAATCTACAACTAAAGATTAAGACTCAATTTTTATCTTTTTTGAAATTCTTTTCATTGAAGACAGCGTCTTCCATGCGCACGACGACGACACATTCGCGCTTTTAGATAGATTTTTACCCAGAATGCAAATGGAAAAAACCGTGAGTGAAACGGTGACTGGGACTGACTAGTATATATTCCATTGAGGGAAAGTTAGTTTCACATCTGCTCAAGAACCCGCCTGGTGGTTGAAGAAAAATCCACATATAAACCGGAAAATACAATATATGAAAAAAAAACACTGAATGCTCTCTGGTATGAGGAGGCGGGCCAGATCCGGCATTGTTCAGGGGGCCGGACCAAATGACGTGGCGGGCCGGATCCGGCCCGCGGGCCGTAGTTTGGGGACCCCTGGTCTAAAATGCAAGATTTATGTGGAAAGAAAACAAAAATAAACCCTCTGCAGCCCTTACCAACAAAAATTGTTATATTGTTGGACCAAAAACCTCAACAGGCAGGAGAGGCTGTGACTGTTTTCTGCAGACCTCAGTTTCAACCCTGCAGATAAAACAGATGCCAGGGAGGAGGGTTTTTGCTGGAAGCAACTGTTTTTCTAGCAACATCTGGGTGAATGTTGGGGCGATCTCTGCACGCTGCTCTCTGGCGTCCATGCATGACCCAGTAAGGTGCTGGAGGCTCCAGCTGCAACATGAAGGATGTGCGTCTGGACAGAAGAGCGATCTACTTACTGGGAACATGAGGGATCACCGTGCGAAGGCATCTGATCGTAAAACATTCATACGCTGGTTCCCTGCTCAGTGGAGTTACAGAACGGCTTGTTTCTGTGTTCAGTCGAGCATGTAAGGGCCAAAGATGTACAACATGACTCAACAGATGTTCCTTCGGTATTTCTTCAGACAATTTCTCGAAATGTGTGCAATTTTTATGTCCAAAAACGTTGTCAAGCAGCACTATTACCATCACAATAAGCCTAAATTCTACCATATTTTGCTAAAATCTTAGTTTTCTGTGCTCATAAAAAAACAGTTCACTGTTATAATGCAAAGACAGATGGACAACAATACATGTAATATAGGAGAAATTGTATTTATCCAAACTGATTTTCTTTCATGCCTGACACTAACTTTAGATTTGGATGTGGCTGCTGGTATGAAAACTTTATCATTAAAATCCAAAGTAAAACAAAAGTTTTCATACATTTTTTTTCTTCTCATCTTAATCAACCAGCACTTATTTGTATTTTTTTTTCCTCACAGTATTAAAGTAGTAATAGAAAAAGGAGAATACAAGGATAATAACAAACACAAAGTCAAAATGTTAAATGTGTTCATAAAACAAGCTTCTTCCTCAATCTGCAGGACCTTAACACTGGCGTCATCTTAATTAATTATTTTCATCTGATATTTCAAATTGACTCTGGATCTCACAGCTTACCTGTAAACGCTTTGAATGACCTTCAGTTTAATACAAATTGTGGGTTGCATTTACTGGCACCTCTGGTATAAAGTTGCCAGAGGTTCCTTTTTACCAGAGCTCATCAGACGTTATGATGAGCTCGAGAGAGAGAGCAGAGCATATAAGACGACCGAGCACTATGGAGGATCTAGAGAGAGAATTATAAAAAAGATTCCTCTGCCTGGCTGCAAATCAAATATAAAAGTAGAAAATAGTTCTGTCACAATGGCAGAAGGAAGTTGTATAAAGTAATAACAGCAGGGGGATCAAGCATTGTTGCACTCGTTGGTTTTTAATAAAAAACTATTATTTCAGAGCGATATTGTGGTAGTGCAATAAAACATTAATTTATGTTGAGGTTTTTACATGTATTTTACCAGGGGTGAAGATAAATCTATCTGGCACTTTATCTCCTTTAGCCAAGTTCTGACCACCATTATTCACAGAGCTCATTTTAATGACTTTTTCAAACAAGAGCCAGCAAAGGAATTTCATTATATGCAACTACTCTTAAACTTTGTGCTACACATTTTTTTGTGACGTCGTTGAAAATGTTTGACATTTATTTCACATGTCTGGTTTCTCATAGTTATCTTACTGCAGAAAACGGGAAGACAATCAAAGGTAGAACAGTTCTGTCTGCTACGTTTAGCTCATTTTAAGCCAGAATACAAATGGAGCACAATGTCTTAATTTTTATAAATATATATATATATATATATATATACACACACATATACATATATATATATGCTTGTATATATAAAGCCTGACTTGTGTCCCGCACTTCTGAATACATCCCAGCCAGTGAAGGTTTAGAAAAATGCAGCCTGTGAAGAACCTCAAACTGCTGATCGAGCACAGAAATAGTCGGCTTCTCTCCACCCTTCATCTGTGAAATCTGCACCCAGCTCAGGCTCCCACACAGCTCCAGTCATGAAACACTTGTCAAAAGAAAAGAGAGGCTTGTGGATGCTGATGATCCACCAAGACTTTCTTTGGAGGAATGTAGGAGTAGTTGGGCAAAGGAGAGCGTGCTCAAGAGCTGAACACAGCGACAGCTGTGGGAAGAAGGCCGTCTAATTCTGTGATAAATGTAGCGACAACTCTTGTTTGTACGTTTAATCTAGTTTGAAAGCATAAAAACCAGCACTTTTTTTTTTAAAGCTTTGTTTATTCGTGTGGCATTGCTCCATTTTTCTCATGACAGCTTCAACTTCAGAGGGAAAAATCTTAATAGGAAATCTAAAAAATGTAAAGCTAAGAAAGATCTGGATTCTACAAACAAATAATAAAATAAATTCATTATTAATTAAAAATCTTATCAGTTTGAACAATAGAAACAATCAATAAAGTAATTATAAATCAGGAACAAGCAGCAGCTGACAAAACCTTTTGAACATTTTCACATCTTGCCACATTACAAACAATCTCCAATCTGTTTTATGACAAAATAATTGCACTTTACTGTGGAGTGGAAAAATATTTGTCTGACAATCTGAAAATGAGGTGTGGATTCGTATTCAGGCCTCTTGAGGCAAAATTTTGGCTCTTTTGCTTCATTTTCTTAACAAAACTGATGAAGCCTGGTGAGAATGTATGGGGAGAACCAGTGAAGAGAAATGTTCAACTCTTCCTCTCTCTGTATGGACACAGAACAACCACAAAGCCAACATTTGGTGCCCCATAAATACACACCTTCATGTGTTTTTGACTGCGTTTAGGGTGTGGCTCAGACTTCTCACCTCGGGGATGGGATCCGACAGCAGCGTGTACAACTTCTCATGAGCGCTGTCTCGGACGCCGCACCAGCGCGCCGGTTCAAAGTTCTGCCAGATCCGGCCCAGGCAGATCGCCACCCACTGTCGGAGCAACGGGTGGGGGTCAGAAAGCTGCTCCAGGCAGTTGGCGATCAGGTTACCCTGGAGACAGGCCTCCTAGAGGGCAGAAAGACGAGGAAAGGATGTTGGAAACCTTAAACTGTTTCGCTTGATCTTTCATCTTTTAAAAATACATGTTCTTTCCGGTTAAGAATAGACGGAGCTCTTCTGACCGTGACTGCTGTCACTCGTGGCTAAATCTGGTCTTTCTGTATAGCATTCATGACAAAACAAGCTTGATAGGAGCCTAATCCACAGAGGTCTCAGGTTGACTTGAAACTCGTTAGTCTATAAATCCCCACTAGCCTCTAAATCTTTTGCTGTGAGATTTGGACAGAAAATATTATAGATTAGCAACACAATAACATTAAGACTTCACTCAAATTAACTGTGAAGTCTGCAAAGTAATAACATAATTTTTTTTATACTGATGTTAAATATTGTTTAATATTTGGATTTTAGCTCTGTTGCTTTTTCTTCTTTAAGCAAGTTATCAAAAATGCAGCAACTGCAGTGACTGGAAAGAAAGTCCCATGCTATGTAAACTGAGATGATAAAACAGATCCATTCTATAGCAGCGCTGAGGAAAGCTCTGCAACGTTTCTGCAACACTTTGAGAGCTGATAACGCAGATCACATGTTTGATTTGAACGTCTCTATGAGTAAAAAAAAACCAAACAGACTTAATACAGTAAAATAAAAAAAATTAAAGAGTATTTAGTATTTTTACATACTGGATTTTTTATTTTTATTTTTGCTTTTCTGTCACATTTTGATGTTTCAGATCTTCAGACATTGAGGTTAAACTGACCTCCGCCCCCAGTTAAATCAGTTATATGATTAATCATAATTAATCACATATTTCCAGTTGAATGAACGTGTTCAGTCCTAGACTTATAGTATAAAGAAAGCGATTGAAATGAACAACATCAAGTAGGAAAAAAAGATTTTCATAAAGAAACGCAGTATGCCTCGATCTAAAGAGGACACTTTACCATCTGGAAAGGGTTAAAAAACCATTTATAAGCTTGTGGTTCTCAGATCACCAACATCTAGGCTATGTAACAGAACAACAATCTGATGCAGACCAGCAAGTTCAACCTTGAATGATTTCAGTAGCTGCCTCATAAAAATCTGGACTGAACACTAATTGAGATGAGCTTAAATTGGCCATTCAGGCTGAAAATCCTTCCAATATGGCCGACTTAAAATGATTTGACAAAAGAAACGAGGCAGGATTCCTCCACAGGGATATAAAAGCCTCATTGTTAGCTTTCACAAATGCCAAATGGCCGTTGTTGTCCAGAAGGGTTGCAAGAATCGTCAGCATGGTCTGGATAGCTTTTTCTTTTCATAAATGAAATCATGAGAACAATTTTACCTTTCTGTTTTTGCTCAGGTTCAATTTTATGATCTGAAACATTCAAGTACGAGGGGCAAATATTTAAAGCTTCAAATCACAGATTCTAATTAACAAAAAAATATGAATTACAACAGCAGTGAAGAAATTACAACATTCAGGAAGTAAGCTGCCTTAGCATGTTTTATAGTTATATCTTATTAAAAAAGAGAAATTACTGGATACTCAACTCTAACTTGCATGTTACTGTTGCTCATTTGTACTGTGATGATGGGTTGGTGACAGCTAAATGCTGCAGCAGCAATGTTTGCTACTATTAAAGCATAAAAATGAGCTACAGAACACATTTCTAATGAGAAACTTTTAGGATTTTCCTTTTGGGAAATGTAGGCCTGAACTGCTCCATTCAGTTGTTCTTTTTCTAATGTTTGTCCAAATGGTCAGTAAAATATTAATACCTACAAACCTTCACAGTAAAGAGAGAACCAGTGACTACACCCGTTAGATATTGCAGAGAAGTAATATCTAACAGGTGTAGTCTTTTCATTAAGCTACAAAGATTTATAAATAATTTTTTTGGGAAAAATTACCTTTCCATACATATATTGGATTTTTATTGATGAAAAAAATCATCATGATATTTTTTATTGCATTTTTAATAATGTAATTCTGACTAAAATCAATGTATTTTTTGTGAGCAGTGATAACATTAAATAAAATAGAAATATGGCATTTTTGGGCCATTAAAGTTGAAAGTTTGGTTGCCCCTGGTTACATAAAAAATATATTTTTCCCGTATTGTTACACTCATGATCAAAATGAGATCCATTTTAGTCAATGTCATCATATTTGAAATCAGCAAAGCTTCAAATACGTTTATCAACACTGTGATTGCTGCGTCACACATTCTCAGCTGTAAATCCACAGCTGACGAATGTCGTTTAACATAAGAAACAAACAGGAAACTGAAGCTGTAAAGCAGGGAGAGAGTCTTTCTGTAATGTCACGATCATCTATTATTTACAGAAACCAGCAGGAGATGTGGGAGTGCTCAGTGTGCAGAGAAATATACATGAAGGATTGGCGTTTCTGAGCCTGACGGCGGGTACAGGTTTTCTGATTTGTCACTTTTATAAAATGTAATATCAGAAACAGGCACATGAGTGGGAATAAAAGACTCAAATAACAACCATAACTAGACAGAAATATCACAAATATTTTCTTAGGAATTGTTTGCGTGTCTGGGTGGAACGGTGAGTTACATTATCCCAACGTTGCACCGCTGGGTATTTGATGAGCAGCAGACATAAAAGGCTTCTGGGATTGCACGCAGGAGGCTTGGGGGCCGACGGAAGTGACTCTTTTGGAGATAAAGTGTCACCACATCGGTGGCCGGGGCAGAAACAGAGGCTGCAGGAGTAACTGCTGCTGACAAAACTGTCACATAACCAATATCTACTGGAAATATACAACAGGCGACAGAGATGACAGCTGGCTCTGAGAAGGCCCCCCGTTTCCTGGCGAGAGGAGTAAATTAATAATTTGCCGTGTGCTCCCTCTGGCCTTCTGACGCTCCGCTCGGAGCCACACACACACACAAATTCAAACCGGTTCTGTACCTGGCCTGTGTTGTAGTTGTTGACGATGACAGCCAAAATGAAAACGGCCATGGTACGATGTTCCGCCTGAAAGAGAGGAGAGCATTCCTCAACCCTCTCACGGAAAACTATTAACATTTAAACAGCTTCGCATCAAATTAAGCAGAAACAATCACATCAAACTCTTTTTACCGGCGACGGCGGCTGATACTCACAGGCATGTAGCTGTCGGCTAACACAGACAGGAAATACTTGTGTCCGTTGTCTTTCACCAGGTCAGCTTGACATGACTGTGAAGATGAAGAGCAGGAGTTGAGAGGCTTCACTCTTCATTCAGAGTAACACTTATTATAATGTGCTGCTTTTTTCTCTTTTCCCCCGACTGAGTGACGACTGAATACTGTTATTAAATCAGGGTATGTTGAAAAGAACGGTTGTCTTCAAATTTTCCTCAAAAACAAAAATATTAGGAAGAAAATTTGTTACTTATCCTTTGATTTATTCTTGCTTTAAATCTTTATGCTTTGTTAATCATTTTTTTGAAGAATTAAATTGAAACTTTTTTTTACTTTGAACATTTTTTGTCCTCGTTTGAGTCTGGTCCCTCACAGCAATAGAGCAACAGCCGTCGCCATATTTTCACCATTTCTAACTAAAATGAACAAAAAAAAAAAAAAAAAAAAAAAAAAAACTTTTTTAAAACACCGTCTCTTGTTTCTCACCCTTTAAAAAGGGGGCAGTTT